TTTTTTTTTTTTTTTTTTTTTTTTTCGAGTCGAGTTTCGATCGATCTTCGCGGTCGCGTATCGTGCATTGCTTGTTTACGCGCTCGTTTTCGATCGAGTGAAAGTAAATTTTTGTTGTTACCTCGTTGTTACCTCCTTATTTTTATCCGAAGAGAACGTACGTACGTACGTGCATGCACAATGAACATAATCGCGCAGCATAAGGTTCGCCACCGGTTCGATTGATTAACTAAGGGATTTAAATAAATCGTGGATGCATCGAGGCAATTTCGTAAATCAGATCGAGTAAATTGGAGCAACTGAGGAATTGACTTGTAAAGGAAAACTTCGTATTGTGTTTCGTTCGACCGGTTATTCTGGCACGTGAAACGTGATACAGAAACTCCACTAGTAGCTTAAACCACGGCATTTTATTAGTATTAGAACATTGCCAGCTTCGTTTAACAGACGTTTATTATCTAATTCCGTGTAATTAGAATCTCGTTAAATGGGAAGTAATAAAATGTGGCAACAGATAATAAAAATATCGATTAATCGATGATACGTGTAACAATAAATAGTAATTAATGAATTAACGATATATCAATAATAACACATTTTCGACAGCTTACAATTCTAAAGGAATTACACTACGCGTTGAATTATATTCGTTGTGAAGTAATTCTTATTTCGACGAGACAGATACGAAATTACACGGCGTGAAAGAGGGCTAACTCGATCACCTTGATTGTCTCCGTTATTTTTATAGACATGACTTTTGTTATGTACATGGTAATATATCTCTTCGTAGGTGGAGGGGCTCCAGAGTTATTTCAAGGTCGTCTTCACTTTCTTCAACGAAATGATACAGTTTTTTGCCCCATTAATCGACGCATCTTCGTTCGGCATCTTTTATAAAAAACTTTATTAATTTTATTATCGTGTGTATTAATTAATTTACGTAGAAACTGTTAGTTCAGAAGATATTCTAACCTTAATTTTGTAAAATTTATTGTACGAAAGACGAGGAGGAACAAGGGCCATTCTCGCGTTCGTGCTGTCCTTGTCTTTCGTGCATCGATTTTGTAAAATTAAAGTTGAAATATCTCCCGACTAATTACTAATTTCTGACAGAAATAGGTCAATATCCTTTTACCAATAGAGGATCGATCGATCTATAAAGAAATATAGGATTCCATTCAGGAAAGTAAGAGTGACCTTGAAATGTCCGAGACTCCTCGAGCTATAAAAAAAAAATTATTACTGCCGTATTATGATCTTCTCTTTATGATAAAAAACAATTTTTGTTCTTCATATCTTGAAAAATAACGGTGACATTCAATTACGTGGTTCGTCCACTGTAAATTTTAAAGATTATAGAAACATATGATAAATCGACCGAAATAAACATTAATTAGTTGATTATAAATGCTGATGAATTAATTTAAAAAAATTATTCTGCATACGATGAATTATGTATTCATCAAAGATCAATTCTTATTTCCCTTTCTGATGATATTTTATCACGTGCGTGAGTATGTAAATGTAATTTGTAATTTCAATGATTGAATTTGAAATTTCTACTGAGAATTAATAAATATTAATTCTATTAATAATAGAATT